GGCGAGGCGAGCGGGCGTGGCAGAGACAGGTGTGGTGATCACGATGCCGGCGAGTGGGGTGGAGCCAGTTTTACTGCACGGCTGACCGTTGACGATGCGGACTTGGTGGATGGGCGCCGCTGAGGTCAGCGAAGACGACAGCTTGGTGGCCAACATAACAGGCCTCTGGAGAAGCTGGGGGGCAGCCATCATGGGTGGGGGAGGGGCCGGAGCGATGGGGATGTTGGTGGGTGTGGCTGGTTTTGGCCTGACCTGATAGAGAGGAAACAGCCAATCAGGAAGCAGTAGTGAAACTGGGCAGTGCCACTGAATAACACCACTGTGGAGCTCTGTCTCAGCCACTCTACCACTGCTAATGCTAATGCTCACTGAGACACCAATGACAACCCCCCCCCCACCTCACCCACCCATCCCCAGTCAAACAGTGAGACCAGAGGTGTTGACAGACATTGAAAGGAGGTTTTTTTTTACGTCCCTGAAAACAGAACAATTAAAAGTCATCTTCTCTCCTGGGACTTCACTGAAGTCTGACCTTCTTCATCATCATCAGTCTGGAACTAACTAACATGTCAGGTGACTTTGGCCTTTACCAGTCTAGTGACTCTTACAGCTGCAGATGTTAGCAGTTAGTCCCTGGACGTTTCTACATCTTCAGCTAACAAAGACAGTAGCAGAGAAGCAGAGTACTACAGTACCGCTGCTGCTGTCGAACGTCGCTGTTGACTCAACTGCTAAGAGAACAGTTCCATTTCCTCCTTTCATTCTGATTGGCTGACTTTAAACTGACATTGACTTTAAAGAATCAATGGCTTTTAAAGCAGTTCATCAAAGCTCTGAACAACTGACACTGGAGCTGTTCGTCAACGTCATCAGAGTGAGGCACGGCGGTCTGTACACCCATCCCCTGTGTCTACCTAAAGACCAACCCGTGGCTCTGGAGCCGCAACTGGCTCTTTGCCCAGTTTCATTCGGCTGTTCTGCTCAGGTTGGAATTGTGTTTGTGTATTTTTACAAAATGTGAATCTCACGCGCGTGGACGTAGGAGAGAAAAAAAAACATTAGGTAGAGTAGAGCTATACTAGTACACAGAGTAGACCTACACTAGTACACAGAGGAGACCTACACTGAACAGAGAACTGAGTTTCTAACAGAGTGGGAGAGAACACAGAACTGAGTTTCTAACAGAGTGGGAGACTTTGTTTTTTTTTATGGGGCAGTTCTCATGTGCCCATGTTCTTCATGTACATCTTTGCAGTAACAGTAAAAGCTGAGTCTCTCGGCCTCTGATTGGTTGGCCACCCCTGACCTGAAGCCTCTGAGCTCCCAGTGGTGTCACACAGAGGACACACAGACGCAGCGACACCAACGTTTGTCAACACACACCAACAGCCAAAAACAGAACACCAAGAAGCTGCAGGAAAACAGTCCTCACCAACAACAACCACAGGTGTGCACGTACACACACACACACGTACACACACAGAGGCAGGAACACCTTGGATAGAACCTGTTGGAAAATGAGCAGAACAACACACCAGGAGGAGGAGGAGGAGGAGAGGAAGAGGAGGTGAAGAAGCAGCACAGAGCAAACAGAATGTTTAGTGCCCAGGCGTGAGTGTTTGCTGTGGTGCACGTCTGCTGCCCTCTGCTGGACAGAGAGCCAGTCAACTCAGGTAAGGCCACACACACTGGTCTGAGGGAGGGGTTAGGGGTTTACAGCCGAGGGGACGCACCTGTGGCTGAAAGGTGGGCCGAGGCATCAGTCTAGGAGGAGGGACAAACTGAGGAACTTTGATTGGCTGGGCGGTGGAGGAGGTGATGTTGGAGGTGGTGGTGGCCTGCACCTGAGGTAAAAACCACAGCAGATTGTGGATCTGTGCTGCTGAGTCAGCATTCAGTCTGTCTGTAATACACCTGTCTAAGATGGACCAATGAGAGAGAAGAAACATGCTCCGTCATCAGGCGACTTCTGACCTCAGCTGGAGAACTTCAGAAGCACAAAATGAAAATGGTTCTGGTTCTAAGTCAAATTAACAACATCAGGTGTGACGGTACACCTGACCTGGAGCATCAGCAGGCATGTACAGGCTCCACTGAGGGGGAGGGAGGGGGAGTCAAGGTTCTTTTCTTTCCTTCTTTAATCAATGGCAGACTGACTACAGTCCCCGGTTCATCTGGGTTCTCCAGG